AGAGCCGGTGACCTACGCGGACCGCGCCTGGGGAGCAAGTTCCGGGGTCCTGCGCGTTTCAGTCCTCTCCGCCCTCCCTACGCTCCGGGTCCTCGAGGTTGAAGGTTACAGAAGTCATTCCGCACAAGCGGCTGGGGGCTCCGCCCCTGGGCGGACAGACTGGGTCAGGACCCCAGTCTGGTAAAAAGCCCAAGCCTGGATTCGACAGATTTCTGGATCTGGGTCCTCTGCTCTGGCGCCTTGGAACTTTGTATCCCTCGTTTCCCGCACCGCTACTCCACACACCTGATTAGGTGCCTGTTTCTTTAACGATCAAAGACGTAGGCGGGGTGGGGGGGAATGTATCTTCGCTCCGGTTTCCCGGTCCCTCGGTAACCGTGTCGTTGTTAACATTACCAGCGTTAGACCTGCTCCTGCGCGCCGAGCGGCGCCGGGGAGGCGCAACGTGCGTCCTCTAGGTGAGCTCGGAGGTTAAACCTGAGTCGCTGCTCCCATCCCAGGCTCCGACGGACTCTGCCAGGGTTGACTCGGGCTCCCGCCCGGCGGGGACAGGGGTAAGGGGTGCCTTCCCCCAGTGCAGGATTGGGGAACAAAAGCACTTGCTGGAGAGCGGCGGAAACCGCTGGGGACCGCAGGAATCAGCACCCGAGCCAGGGTGGCCACAGAGCCCTTAGCCATCCCGTAAGGATGGCGCCTCTAGGCGTCAGAAACCTCCCTCCCTCCCCTCTGAACCCCCGGCTTTTGCACCCTCGGCAAGAGAGCAAGGAAAGGGGGTCTTTCTTAGCCCCGCGGGCCCTGACAGCTTCCCCGCACGCTGGCGGGACGGGTCCCTGCGATCCAGGGAAGCTTTTAGGGGAAGCTCATTCTCCCTTCCAGTCCCTGAACTGTGTCCTCGGTTTCTCGCTCCTTCCAAGTTGTCCCTTGGCCCGCTTGCCTCCCCGCCCAACTTAGAATAGAGATGAAAACTAGGAGGGTCCACTAGCTAGTGGTGAGCCTCCACGCCAGGGCCTCCCTCTCTGTCTCCACGCCTTGCTTCCCTCCTCCATCCCTGGAAAGCCTCCAGAACTCGCCATCTTGGACCTTCAGACCAGACCCTCTCAGTCCCGCTACTGGCTCTCCGCCCCTCGGATCCCTCTTTTTAGGGGCGAGACTCCCAGCAATGTGCCCCCAAATTTCCTAAAAATGCTGACAACGCTCCAGGACGCCCCCTCGCTCCGCAGACAAAGAAGTCAATGCCAGGCTAGCGGCCTGTGCCACTTGCTGGCCCAGCCAGCCCCAACCCTCAGGGGCTTGGTCCAGGTGAGGGACAGGATTGGGGCTGTTCCCAATGCAGGATCCAGGGTGGGGACAGGTCACAATGTTCTCACCCCTTGGCCCTCCTGGAAGACACCTTCCTTCCATGGGCGTCTCAGTACCCTCCCTCACGGTCGGCTGTGGGACCCCAGGACTGAGCAGGTGTTCTGGGTTCCGAACCTGGCTGAAGGAGATGCGCTGGTCCCAGCTTGCCTGCCGCCCGAAGCGAAGACAGCAGTAGGAGAGAGGGAGGGACTCGGAGTGTGCGTGCATAAGTCTTCATATTTAATTTACAAAGCCTCAGAACCCTGGCCGGGTGGTCTCTTTAGATGCGGCGCTCTTTGCCGGTCTCTCTCCCCTAACCCCTCCCCACCTCATTAAAATGCTTAACACTCAAATCCGGGTATTGATCTCCGCAGAAGCCCCCGACCATCCCCGCCATCGACCCACCAAGACAGACCGCTGCCGGGGTGAGGACTGAGGGACCACGTGCGCCCCAAGATCACAGTGTTTACAGAAAGAACGATGGGGGTGGGGGGAGAGGGCTCTGCGTGTCTCCCAGAACCTGTACCCCTTTTCCGGTTCTGGCCTGCACGTAGGTAGCACGCGCTGGAGTGGGGGGATGGAGATGCGTTTTAATCAAATGCCTCGACATCCTTGTGCCTCCGCCTCCTTGTAGCTAAAAGAAATGTCGGGGTTTCGCAAGAGATAGGGAGAGTCGGGAACAGCAAGTCCGCGAGTCTGCTGAGGCCAGCTGTTGTGTGAGGGTGTGAGACAGCGGGGCGGTGGCGTGCCATCGCGGCTTCGGGGATAGTGTGGTGGTGGGGGGGGTGGCTGAGAGGATACTGCGAATGGGGGTGTGGGAAATGCTTGGATCTTACGGTCCCAGCCCACAGTGCTCAAGAGGAGAAGACGTTTCATAACCAACCTTGTCCCTGCCGCTATACGCTGCAGCCTCGATGCCCTATTCCCCCGGAGCTGGCATTGAGGTGCTTGGGTGCGCTCAAACTAGCTCCCTGGGAGCCAGACTGATACCTGCGCGGCCCGCCCCCACCCCGCGCTGTGCACTGGCTAGCCACTGGGCCGTGGGCTACTGGAACGGCTTTTGCCACAAAAGACCAGACGTAAAGAGTTCCGGCTTAAGGGGCTGGGCAGGGGTGGCGGTGGGCTAGGGAGGTGGGCGTCTCTTCCCCTACGCGCCATGCAGGGCTGCACATTGGCGTCTGTCTGGTTAGACTGAGGGGGGTGGGGGAGACTAAGGCTTGTATCTGCCCAGATCCAGTCAAAAATGGCAGGGAGGGTGAGGCGCTCTGCTAACACTATCAATTATGCATCGTGTTGAACGTGGCTTCGGGGAGGAGGCTGCTAGCAGGGGGGTGAGAAAAGGAAGGATCAGCGCGCGCCAGGCTGCGCACAGCGCAGCCGGTCCCGCTGGAGGTCTTTCTGCGCCACTGCCTGCATTTGCAAAAAAAAAAAAAAAAAAAAAAAGAATGTTTTAAGGCAAAGACACGCCCCCCTCCAGTCGTACGCCTTTCTTTTCCCCAAATTCCTCAAAGATGGTTTGTCTCACGTGTTGCGGGGCGTAAAAACAGCTCGCATTCAATTAGCAGCGGAGCTCCCAGGCGCTGGCGGGACGGGCGCGTGAGGGTGAGTGAGCGTGAATGTGTGTGTGCGCGAGAGGGAGAACAGTGAGTGTCGGGGTGAAGGTGTGCTTGTGAAAATGTGTGTGAACGTTGCAAGAACTCAACACATTGACGCGATTGTTAAATGATGGTGGATAATTCTAAGGTGTGAAGGTCGATCGCGTGGAGAGTGAGTCTGTGAGAATGGGTTTGAGCTTGTGGAGGGCGGTGGGATGAGGGATCGTGACAATATCAGCGGTATGTAAATGTAAGGCCACATGGATTGTGGGGGTGCAGTGGGCTGGAAAGAGCCGAGCCTTGGGCGGTGGGCGTGTGGAGCCCCTTGTGACCGACCGACGTGACTTGGCCTCGGGGAGGGTCTCTACCGCTTTAAACAAATGTAGGCGCTGCAGGAGGTGGGAGAGGCTGCGCGCGTTCCCGCAGAACCCGGGGCCGCGCGAGGACGCTCTCCAACCTGCCGCCGGGGAGAAGTGGGGCGAACAGATACCTAAGGAAAACCTGAACTGGGACTTCGGGGCCTCAAACTTACCTGTCCCCTTGCCCCTCCCCCGTTTTCCCCACAGCCTCAGCAACAGATGCAGGTAGCTCCCTTCGGCTGTCATCCCAGCTCCGCGACACCAGTCTGGAGAAGGGGTTGCAGCCTGAAGGCTGCATAGGAGTCAGCCAGCAACGGGTAAGCAGAGGGGGGCACCCCCTTAATCTCAGCCCAGGCGGGATAGGTCAGGAATAAAGCACCAACCCCACAGTGCTGTCTGGGAGGAACTGAGAAGGGAGGGGCCCTCCCCCAGAATCAAAGGCAGAGAAGGGGACTCGGGATCCCAAAGACAGGGTGTGGGAGGGGTTCTGCCAAACCTGACGGGCGCCCCAAGTGGGGGCGGGGAATCTATGTAAATGTGTTTGTATGGTTGGGAATGAGGTTTCATGGGGTCCTTCAGGTATGGGGGAGAGCTGTGGAGAGTGGTGCAGGCTATTGAACCTTTTCCAACTTCATTAAATAGTAGCTACCTTCTTAACCTGTGGGCTGGGGACCCCCATCCCCCCTGGAGCTCCCTGGGCTCTGTGGGACTCCGGGGGTGGGTGGGGGAGATTTAATGACTGTCCCCACAAAGCACTGCTCCAGGCTTGGGGGAGGGGTTCTCTTCCCAGACTGAAGGTTGATGGAGCTGTTCTGGCTCCCTTCTGGGGGGAGCTGTAGCCCAGGACAGGCGATTTAGCTGAAGCTGGAGAAGGATTTGCAAATGGGGGCTTCCCCAGATCCCAGGCACGTCCTTCCCTCTGAAAGTTCTCAGTATTGTTCGTTCATCTGCTCATGCTTCTGTCTCAGAGGAGGGATGTGTGAACACACAAGTTTGTGCCTATTTTTCTGTGTGTGTCAGTTCATATGAGGACTTCTGTCCTTGCGTCTGTCAAGTCTCGCTCACAGTAACAGGAATGCGCTTTGCATCTCAGTGGAAAACGCTGTACAAATGCTGGGTTCAGTTGAGAACAATGAGGTCTCCAGAGTATATTGCGCAGGTGTCTGGGTGCCTATGTGTTTGTGTCTATGCAATGCGTTATGAACCTCCTGATAGATCATTAGGTCCCTTAGTTGCCTGCTGGGTGGCGATGCCCGAGCTTGTGTGTATTGTTGTGTGCTTGTATGATTGTCTGTGCGTAGGACAAAGGGTTCTAGAGGACAGCCAGTCACCGACAAAAATATCTTTTCTGTGTTCCATCTCACCGGGTTAAATGAAGACTTAGAAACAGAGAGAGGCCAGTGCAGAGTCTACTGCAGATTCTCAAGCAGCGAAGCTTGTAGAGGGGTCAGCTACTGGGTGAGGGGGTAAGTGGGGGTGGGGGGAAGCATGGTCCATGCTCTCTGGAAAAGGATGTCAGGGTCCTGGAGGGAGCATCCATCGAAGCTTTAGACTTTTATTAAGCTCCGTTTGTGCGCAAGAGAGGTTCTTGGGCACAGAGGTTACTGGACTACAGGTTTGGGGAGGTAGAGCTTCTTAGAGGAGGGAAAGTGGATCTCAGTAAGTCACCTTCTCTGTTCTTCCCCTGGCTTCCGTTGCAGCAGCCACTATGGCACCGGTTCAAGCCCTTTGGTTGGCCTGGGCACTTCTAGGAGCGGCGGAGCGTGCCCGGAGCCGTGCGCCTGTGTAGACAAGTACGCGCACCAGTTTGCCGACTGTGCGTACAAGGAGTTGCGCGAGGTGCCCGAAGGATTGCCAGCTAACGTGACCACGCTTAGTCTGTCCGCCAACAAGATCACAGTGCTGAGGCGTGGGGCCTTCGCCAACGTCACGCAGGTAACATCGCTGTGGCTGGCACACAGTGAGGTGCGCACGGTGGAGCCGGGGGCGCTGGCTGTGCTGAGCCAGCTCAAGAACCTCGACCTGAGCCACAACCTCATATCAAGCTTCCCTTGGAGCGACCTGCATAATTTGAGTGCGCTGCAGCTTCTCAAAATGAATCACAACCGCCTGGCATCGCTGCCCCGGGACGCACTCGGCGCGCTGCCTGACCTGCGCTCCCTGCGTATCAACAACAATCGGCTGCGTACGCTGGAGCCCGGCACCTTCGACGCGCTGAGCGCGCTGTCACACCTTCAACTCTATCACAATCCCTTCCACTGCGGCTGTGGCCTCGTGTGGCTGCAGGCCTGGGCCGCGAGCACACGAGTCTCGTTGCCTGAGCCAGATTCCATTGCGTGTGCCTCACCTCCCGCGCTGCAGGGTGTGCCGGTGCACCGCCTGCCCGCCCTGCCCTGTGCGCCGCCCAGTGTGCGTCTGAGTGTAGAGCCGCCGCCTGAGGCTCCCGGCACCCCTCTGCGCGCGGGTTTGCCTTTCATGTTACATTGTGACGCTGAAGGCCACCCCACGCCCCGCCTGCAATGGCAACTTCAGATCCCTGGTGGCACCATAGTCTTAGAGCCGCCAGTCCAGGGTAGGGAGGATGATGGGGACAGGGCAGAGGAGGAGGAGGAAGAAGAAGGAGATGGAGACGTGCCAGCGCAGACCGAAGCCCCAACAGCGACTCCGGCGGCACCGGCTTGGCCCGCACCTCCAGCAACTCCGCGTTTCTTGGCCCTAGCAAATGGCTCCCTGTTGGTGCCGCTTCTGAGTGCCAAGGAGGCAGGCGTCTACACATGCCGTGCACACAATGAGCTGGGCGCCAACTCGACGTCAGTACGCGTGTCTGTAGCTGCAGCCGGTCCTCCAAAGCACGCTCCTGGCGCAGGGGGAGATCCTGGTGGTCAGGCCCCAACCTCTGAGAGAAAGGCCACAGCCAAGGGCAGGGGCAACAGCGTCCTGCCCTCTAAGCCTGAGGGCAAAACCAAAGGCCAAGGCCTGGCCCGCGTTAGCATCCTCGGGGAGACAGAGGCAGAGCTGGAGGAGGAGGAGGGAGGAGAAGGAGAGGAAGTGGAAGACCAGATCCCTGCGGACCCGGTGGAAGAGAAGCACTGTGGTCGCGGGGACCCCTCTCTGTACGTGTCTAACCACGCGTTCAATCAGAGTTCAGAGCTCAAGCCACACGTCTTCGAGCTGGGTGTCATCGCGCTGGATGTTGCGGAGCGCGAGGCGCGGGTGCAGTTAACGCCGCTGGCTGCGCGCTGGGGCCCTGGGCCGGGCGGGGCTGCGGGAGCCGGGCGACCTGGGCGGCGGCCCCTGCGCCTGCTCTATTTGTGTCCAGCGGGCGGCGGCGCGGCGGTGCAGTGGTCCCGCGTGGAGGATGGTGTCAATGCTTACTGGTTCCGCGGCCTGCGGCCCGGCACCAACTACTCCGTGTGCCTGGCGCTGGCGGGCGAGGCCTGCCATGTGCAAGTGGTGTTCTCTACCAAGAAGGAGTTGCCCTCACTGCTGGTCATCGTGACGGTGAGCGTATTCCTCCTGGTGCTGGCCACCGTACCCCTGCTGGGCGCCGCCTGCTGCCATCTGCTGGCCAAACACCCCGGCAAGCCTTACCGTCTTATCCTGAGGCCCCAGGCCCCCGACCCTATGGAGAAGCGCATCGCCGCGGACTTTGACCCGCGCGCCTCCTATCTTGAATCTGAGAAGAGCTACCCCGTAGGCGGCGAGGTGGGCGGTGAGGAGCCAGAGGAGGCCCCGGGGGAGGGCCTTGATGAAGACGCGGAGCAAGGGGACCCGAGTGGGGACCTGCAGAGAGAGGAGAGCCTGGCAGCTTGCTCACTGGTGGAGTCCCAGTCCAAGGCCAACCAAGAGGAGTTTGAGGCGGGCTCTGAGTACAGCGATCGGCTGCCTCTGGGCGCGGAGGCTGTCAACATCGCCCAAGAGATTAACGGCAACTATAGGCAGACGGCGGGCTGAGCCCCCAGCCTTCCTGGCCCGCCCATTCCCACTCTGGCCTTGGGTGCCTGATAGCAGAAGCCTAGGGCTGGCAGGACTTACCTCCCTCTCCCCAACCTTCACTTACTCCGCCACCTTAATTCTCTCCAGGGACTTCTAGTAGGAAGTGGGCCGATTTCACCAGTCCCTGGCCAACCACGTCCGTCATTCTCTTGGCGGGCTGAGTCCCTCTCCTCCCACCCCCACCCAAGCACAGTGTCCCATTCCTATCTCCTTATATAAAACCTCACCTGCTGACGGCGAGGCGCAATCTATCGCCTCCCCTCCTTTCCAACCGCCCGCAGCTCGCCCCACCCGTAGTCCCTGGAGTCAGGAGCAACGCGGGAACGTCTGGTGGTAGCGTCGTGGTTCTGGGGCTTTCGCCGGGGACCCACGGTAGATGCCCCCCGCGTAGAACGCTGTGGATCTCACCTGGACCCTTCTCCGCCTTTTCAGGCCTGCATGTGCCAGAAGCTGTCTATTTTTTAGTCTTAAATCCCACTTCCGACAGGAAACCAAATTTTTCTGCCCCTCCCCCCCCCATTCCCGATTCCCCGCCCCATTTCGGCCCGGGCACTGAGCAGGCTGCCTGGAGGCACTTTTCACTCCAAACTCTGTTTCTTATTTTCTTGTTTTCTAAGACTGCGACATTCTGGGTCTGGTGCTAACACCCCCTTCCCAACCTCTGGGAAGCTGGATGTGCGTGTGTCAAGAGGCAAGAGAAGGAATCCGTTTTCTCCCGCCCCTCTCCTAACTTAAAGCGCCGCGGGACCGCGCGCCCCCTTTCTGCCAAGGGTACAGGCTTGGTCCCCAGCCAGTTTCGTTGTCAGTTTGTTGTGGTGCCCGGAGATTGTGCTCACGACAGCTGCTTTGGCGGCTCCACTGAGTCCAGATTCTCGGCGGAAAGCGCCAGGGGCGCAGGAAGCAAACTGTCTCCCCCGGACGCAAGTCTCCCAAGGGCTGGCGCCCGGGTACGCACAAAGCCTGCGCGTGACTGCAGCAGGACTCGGAGGGGGGACAGTCCCCCGGTCCCCGCCCCGCCCCGCCCCTCCTTCCGCGAGAATAGTGTTTGCCCGGCGGGTAGTCCTAGCCGAGCGTGGTCTGTAGGAGAAGTCTGTGTCCTGTAAAACGTGCCGGTGTAGTGTGGGGGGCGGGCGGGCGGGCAGGTGGGAGGGAGGGAGGAAGGGAGTTAGAGGGAGGGTGGGCGCGACTCGGGAGCCCCGACTGGGGTCAGGGTTTGGTTGTTGAAGGGAGGCGTCGGGGTGGGGTTGCAGGCCTCTGGACCAGCCCTCTCCGCCAAGCGCAGCACAAGCGTGGCCCCGGCGGGAGTAGCCCCCGGAGCCCGCGTCCTTTTCTAAACGCTTCTGTATGTAAACCGTCAATAAAAAAATCGATTTGAACTGGATTTGGTGACTTTTTGTGGAGGGGGGGGGCAGAGGGAAGGGGGCCTAGGAGAATGAAGGAGGAAACCACAGAAGGAAGGAGCTCCTAGGAGCCTCCAGTTGGGATCCTTTGTGTGATTGTTTGTGTGATCGCCTTGTGATTTTGCCAGGTGTTTGCAACTTGATGCCTCCAACTCTGGGGTACAGGGTGGGGTGAAGCTACTTGGGTGGGAGGAGCCTGGAAGTGAGCGGTAGGGCTGGCAGAGAGGGAGGGGCGGGTGTCTGCAGACGGAGCACCAAGCGTCCTCTGGAGTGTGTGCTCGCCCAGCCGGCTTGCATCTGAGTGTTGGTGTTCTGGGGTGCGGCTGTGCGTGTGTGTATGTGCACTGCTGTGGCTTGCACAAGAGAAGTCACAAATAACACACATTTCAGAGCAGACAAATGATATAGAGCAGAAAAGGGGGAAACCTAGGGACAGAACAAGCTGGCACATGAATCTGAGGTCAGGTGCGTGTGTTGGGGGGTGTCTGTGGGGAGTGCTCAGTAAGTGATGCGTGGACAGCTGTCACGGGTGCTGAGGAGGTTGCGCTGTGGAATCAGTACTGCAAGCACACTGATTTAATAGGCCTAGAAATGGGGACAGGTGAGACAGGAGGGTAATGGGTACAGTGCTGTTGACAAGCCAAAGTGCTGGAGTCAGGCAGGCTGTGTGTTTCAGCTGAATCCCTGGGAGGGAAAGGAAGTGGCCAGGAAGGGAGGTGGAAGAAGAAAGCAACAGAAGTGAGGGGAGTAGATCCAAATTCCATCCCTTTTTCCTGCTTTCAATCTCCTCTCTCTCATCCTTTCTATGGGTATCGGGTCTTCCTAATTGGACCAGTTTGGGCTGAGGAATTGGCCTAGGTCAGACACCCTGCATCCTATCCTAGTCCCAGGCCAGTCTCCTGGCTGAGGTGGTAGCTGTGACACTTCTTGGGGTGGAGGGCATGAGTCCAGGTTTCCTTCCCAGACCAGCAAAGCAGTTTCAGAGAAAGATTTCCTTGTAGGGCCACAGCTCAAGCTCTGCCCTGTGGCCTGCCCTTCACCAGGAATTCTGTCTTTCAGGGAGATTGCTCTTTGTTCCAACTGCCAATCTCACCTCTCATTGGGGGGCAGGGACTGGCTCTGGAATCCACACAGGATTGCACCTGAGCAACCAGTAAGTGTTCAATGGTTTTGGCCAACCAAATCCTTGGGCCATGGGTCTTCAGGAGGAAGGGTTCCATCCTGTTCCTCCCCATTCTAGTTGAGGGCCCCTTTGAGTGCTTCCTGGGGAAGGTGCAGAGAAGTTCAGAGTTCGGCCCCTTCTTTGCCTGGGACCAAGCATCCTAACAGATGAACAAGTACTATCCAGCCAGACCTTCTGTTCCCTGGGCAAGGCCAGACCCAAAGGTTCAGCCCACAGGAGATGATTGGGTAGGTGCTGAAGGCCAAGGTCAAGGTGCTGGGGTGGTCGTCTGACTGCTCTCCCAGGTATGCCTCAGTTTCTGCCCACATATTTGGTATATACACTGAATTGTCCCTAGCCTCTGTCTTTTCTTCTTATTTTCTTTTAAATTTTATGTTTTCATTTCCTCCCCCTTTCTACTCTGTTCTCTTTTCAGTTGTTCCAACTCAATGATCTGCTTAAGGCTCAATTTTTTTTTTTCTGGTCAGTACTGGGGTTTTGAATTCAGAACCTCATGCTTGCTAGGCAGGCACTCTACCACTTGAGAACTCCACCAGCCCTGTTTTATGATGGGTTTTTACAAGATAGGGTCTCCCAAACTATTTGCCAAGGCTGGCTTCAAACCACGATCCTCCTGATCTCTGCCTCTTGAGTGAGTAGCTAGGATTACAGGCGTGAGCCACCAGTGACCTGCTTCAATTCTTTTTTAACAGTGTCCCCATCAGGTGATATGTGGCCTTGGCTTGCACTTATCCAGAGACCAGAGACTGGGGATTTATTATTGGCCTTCCACCCCTACCCCACACCAGCTGTTAGGCAGTGTTAAATGTATCTGTCCCTGTGAACATCCCTGAGGCCTGACACTGCCACCTCCATATACCAAGACTTGCAGTTGTGATCTTCACCTCCTCCCCCAACTCTCTCACTACAGGGCTCTATAGTTTTTCATTTAAAGCAGCTTCTTTGAGCACCTACTGTATGCTTCAGGTCCTGTGCTTGCTTAGCTTTCCCCAGGGTGTGTGGTCATCTAACTTATTTGGATTACCACATGGGAATAGGACCTAATGAGTTGAGGATGGTGTCCATGTGTGTGTGTGTGTGTGTGTGTGTGACTAAATGTGTACTGAGGGACCTGGAAAATGGTCAGAAAATGCAATATGACAGCAGCAGCCTCAGAACTCCAAGCAGTTTGTCAGGAGCAGTAATTCTTGAAGCTACAGAAGCCAGATGCCCAGGATGTAGCTTGGCCTTGAATCCATCAGAAACCTGTCTGCAGAAAGGTGCTTTGAAAGGAGCGTTCTCTCCACCCCCACACACAAATATTTCCTGAGAATCAGCTGGAGTGAGAACCATCTTGAGAACTATTAGAGCAGGTCCTTTACTTTGAAGAAACAAAGGAAGGCAGGGCTTCTCTGAGCAGCCAACAGTGGTGTGAGGTCCCTGCTTGCAGATCTGGTGCCTGGAATGCAACTCTCCACCTGTGACATCCATCCAGGCTAACGCCCACAACTAAAGCTAACTCTGAATAAGGTGATGGAGGAGGTTAATGTCTGGATCTTTATTCCCTGATAGTAATGCAAATATCAATTTTCCTCCCTGGCTTTCCAGGAGATGCTTTTTGGTAGGTAAAGGGAAGAGCTGGGGCTATCTTGCTGTGACTGTCAGCATTACAGTCCCAGGTATGGGGCACATCCCAGGAAAGAGGGGCTGCTGTCTACACAAAGAGACATCACCTGCAGAGAACAAACCATGACCACATGAGCACGAAGCAGGGGAAAGCAGGAGAACTTGTCCTCTCAGAGATGAGGTGCATATCAGCAAAAAGCCAAGCTCAGGAAAAAGACATAAGAAAAGTCCATGTTGAGGCCATAAATCGGCAAAGATCTTTACGAATCTGCAGCATCGAGCTATTGACAAGAGAAGTTCTGACAGAAAACAGGATGGAACAAGCAGAGCCATTTCAGTTGTAAAGTGTCAATTCATTGATTGCATTTGAAACCCACCCACCCATTTATGTTCAATGACAAGATTTTTCCTTAGGGCTCAAGAGGGAATAACGTTCTATTGAAAATGAAAGCTCTGCTGACAGGATGGATTATAAATGTCTTGCAATATTAGCATTTAGTTTAAAATATGACCAATATTCTTAAGGAGTTTTGATATAAGTTTTTTTTTAAAGCCATTCAAAGACCCTGTGCTGGGTACAAAAACTAACATGTTGGGCTAAATTAGTTAGAAAGACTTCTTACCATCCCTGGGATGGATAACTAATTTAGAGACAATACGATTTTTTAAATGGTGCTAATTGTGTGTGCTTTGTTTGGACATGTGAATGTAAATTTAATAATTAAATTTAAGTCCACAAGGAACAAGGAGAAGAAAAGTGTTTATATTTTTATCAACTGTTTGCTGCTTAAACATAACCCCCCTTGTGTATTAGGAGTTAATTTGGTTTTGGAAAATTAGATGCCTTTTTTTTTT